GAGGACCTCCAGGCCTCCACTTTCTGGAGCTTTGCTGTTTATCCACAGCATGCAGTGTTTGTATGTTTTCAATCTAAAAGTGCCTGTCTTTGTGTTTTACTTGCATAAAGCAGATGCCTCATGGCGATGGCCGCCTGCCCAGCCACAACGTGTCGTCTCAGTACCGCATGCACTCCTACTACCCAGCAGCCACCTACCTGACTCAGGGCCTGGGCTCCACCACCTGTGTGCCACCCTTCTTTAGCCTGGATGACAGCAATAACAGCTGCTCTGAGACCATGGCAGCCTGTGAGTGACACACAACAACACACTTCTCAGGCTCCATAAACCTTTACCCAGACTTTATCAACAGTACATGGAAGGGAGGATTGCACTCGAATCCAGAGCGCCATAAAATGCACTTTTTACTTTGACTAAACTTTTTTACTTCCTGCTTCTGATGCAGTTCTGTGAAAGCAGGTCTGGCCCGAGCGTTTCTGAAGCTACAAAGTTAAAAACAGTACTGCTCTGTTTCTTTTTGGCATGTTTAAAGATGAAGTAGATTTGATCCCCTGATCTCTGCAGCTCTCGATTTCTGGCACTTGCCAATCTCAGACGCTGATCTCTTCTTAACGTAGCTGCTGACGGAGGTGGCTTGGATTTTGTGCCTTTCTCATGCCTGTGAATGTGGGCTCATCAGATTGTGTGTGTGTTGCTTCACATGTTCAGCACAGTGTTTTTGGAATTTGTGAAGACTGCATGTAAGTGCATGATAAGAGAGAAGATCCAGCATAAAGCAGAAGAGATAGAGGGAGGCTGCTGGACTAATAAGGCCAAATGGAAATTAAGGACATTTAAAGGATTTGCTGTTTGATGTTTTCAGGCAGGATAAGCTTCAGATCAGGATTCTGGCTCTGCAGTGGACGTCGTTATTAGATTTAAATGTGTTCAGAGAGCACAGGACATAATCTTAACAACTCTCAGATAAACTTGTTAGTAATAGAGGACTGCAGCATGCAGAGGTTCACATTTGCATGAGCACAGTAGGAGTGCAAAGGCTGGTTTGACTGAGGCATTGAGGGTTTGATGCAGTTCTTGAGGTCTGGGTTAATAAATGCGATAACTTCTCTGTGTTTTTTGTCATTGTAGGGTTTGATGTCTTGATTTTGTGTTATGATTTTTATTATTTGTTGTAGTTTCTGTTCCCTCCAAGGATCTGGGACTGTTTTTGTTCCTGTTTTAATTTGAAGTGTCTGCCTTTTGTGTCGTTTGTTTTGTGATTGTTGGTGCTGTTGTTGCGTTGAGTGCTCAGTCTTTGTCTCCACACACCCTGACAGAAGGTGTCTCTCTGAGTTCCTGTGATGGAGCTGCGT